AAAATAAAAAAAAAAAAAGCTGAGAAGTGTCTACCTCTAAACATGAGAAGGACATCATCTGGCAGCTCATTCTCTTGAATATTGTAGATGTTATAGAGTACATATATACAAAGAAAAAGGAAGTATCAGAGCACCTTTGCAAGAGATGGTACTGCCAACACTACCTCTAGTGTCTAATTAGCATTTGGGACGTAATTAGTTTATAAATATTCCTCCTAAGCTGAACCTTATTGTATGATGTGTCAGGCAAAGTTTTAATACATTTTCATGTAAATCAAAGTGGAATTCTTGATATAGAAATGTAAAGGTCACAGACCCATAATGCAAAGTTATGCCACATGTTATTTAGGATTTAAATTGCTGAGATTCCCTGGCTGGTTTTTAAAAGGTTAATATGTCTGCATATGCCTTTTAAAAAACAAAACCCAACACATAACTTCAGTAATTAGCTGCAAATCCCATTTACATGGTGCTATTTTATAACCTGCATTTTAATCCATCCTTATATTTAATGCTTTTTACAGCAGAATAAAAAGGTGGTGTCCATTCCTGTAGACAGATCTAACCCAGTGCAGAAGTAATCTACTGGGTACTCCAGTGGGTTTTCCAGACTGCCCTCAACGTTGTTGTTTTCACTGTGTTCTTGCCATACTACCTCATCTGATCTCACAAGTGCAAAGGGATGACTTGTCTCTACAGCTTAAGCCACATTACAGTGACTTACTGTGTTGCCAGTATTTTGTACAGCGGTTAGAAAGGATCAATTTAAATCTGCTTGAAGTGAAGTTCAACCAAGCCAAGTGCAAAGTTCTACACCTGGGTCGAGGCAACCCCAGGCACAGCTACAGGTGGTCAGAGCAGCCTGAGGATAAGGACTTGGGGGTGTTGGTCGATGAGAAACTGAACATGACCAGGCTTCAGTGTGCGCTTGAGCTCAGAAACCTCCTGTGTACTGGGCTGCATCAAAAGAAACGTGACCAGCAGGTCATGGAGGTGATCCTGCCCATCTACTCTGCTCTCATGAGACCACACTTGCAGCACTGGGTGTCCTCAACACAAGAAGGACATGGAGCTGTTGGAGCAAGTCCAGAGGAGGCCACGAGGATGATCAGGGGCTGGAGCATCTCCTGTCTGAAGGCAGGCTGAGAACATTGGGGCTGTTCAGCCTGGAGAAGCTGCATGGAGACCTCAGAGCAGCTTCCAGTGTCTGAAGGGGGCTATAAGGATGCTGGAGCGGGACTCTGCATCAGGGACTGGAGCGTTAGGACAAGGGGCGATGGGTTCCAACTGGAACAGGGGAAGTTCAGGTTGGATCTAAGGAACAAGTTCTCCCCCATGAGGGTGGTAAGGCACTGGAATGGGTTGCCCAAGGATGTTGTGAATGCTTCATCCCTGGCAGTGTTCAAGGCCAGGTTGGACACAGGGCTTGGAGCAAACTGCTCTAGTGGAAGGTGTCCCTGCTCGTGGCAGGGGATTGGAACTAGGTGATCTTAAGGTCCTTTCCAACCCAAACTGTTCTACGATTCTAAATACAAGGCTGCATTTCTGAGCTCTGTCAGAGTGGGAGCACGACTTGGGGTTTTGGGGATATCCTGTCCTTGTGAGACAGGAAGGCTCCAGCATCTGCTGCCCACCAGCAGCAGAGCAGACCTGAAAGCATCTGCTTTTTACAGAGGAGCATGTTACCCAAGGGAGATCTTCTTACTCTGCACAGCAAGATCTCGCATCAGGCAGGGATGAGGGGCATCACCACCATTCACAGAGGTCAGGATTTTACTTTTGTGGAAGGAAGCAGTCCTTTCCTCACACCAAATTCAGCCTGAAACAAGCCCAGGGGGACCCGATGACTCCCTGGGACTACCTCAAGTTGTTAATCAGTGAAGAAATCCTCCAGTGCTTGAGGGATCCCATGGTCGTGAGACCCTGGAGGGGTCTTCTGGCCATGACAAACAGGTTCAGGCTCCAAACCCCCCTGTGTACCTAACTCAGTGGGAGCACAGAGATACACTTGCTTGCTGAAATGGGATGCTGACCCATAGGGACAGACTGCAGCTCCAGATGTCAGCTCCAGAGCCTGCCCACTCCCCGGTGCCTACAGGAGATCAGTGGGATCAGTGGGACCAGCAGCTATGTCTGTAGAGGTAAGAATGGCAATGAGCTCAGATTCAAACAAGACGATGAACTGCCGTGCTTCATGCACTGCTGGGGAAGGAGGTGAGTGGCCTCTTTGCCAAAATAACAAGAACAAGAACAATTATTTACCTCAAAACCTGAAAGGGACGTCTAACAGTTCATTCTGTTGCCCCTTGCCAAAGTTGCAAAGTGAATAAGACGTATGGTCTTACAATAGGAAGTGTCAGGCTGTCTTGGCAATAGCTGGTACTGCCAAACCCACTTCTAGTATATCTTTGCCTTTGGAGGCTTAATTTGTCTGTCAATATTTCTCCTACATTGAATTTCATGGAGTGTCAGCCCAGAACTTAACACATTTCACATGCAAAATAAAATTGAATCATTATAAAGTTTGCAGTCTATCAGTTAGCTCCAAAAACAGCATCTCAGGTTTCTTGGGGAGGTAAAAGTAGTTTGTGTCCTTGGAAACAGCTGTTACCTGCTGTTCATTCCCCTAAGCATGAATTTTGCCATGGCAATGGAGGTTGCACTCATCTATTACTTGTTCTACAGAACAGTTTATTTTCTGGAAACTATATTGTGGAGAGCAAGAGAAGCAGGGTGAAGGAGGTGATCCTGCCCCTCTGCTCTGCTCTGGTGAGACCCCACTTGCAGCACTGGGTGCAGTTCTGGAGTCTCCAACACAAGAAGGACATGGAGCTGTTGGAGCAAGTCCAGAGGAGGCCACGAGGATGATCAGGGGCTGGAGCATCTCCTGTATGAAGACAGGCTGAGAACATTGGGGCTGTTCAGCCTGGAGAAGCTGTGTGGAGACCTCAGAGCAGCTTCCAGAGTCTGAAGGGGCCTATAAGGATGCTGGAGAGGAACTCTGCATCAGGGACTGGAGTGTTAGGACAAGGGGTGATGGGTTCCAACTGGAACAGGGGAAGTTTGGGTTAGATCTAAAGAAGTTCTTCCCTGTGAGGGTGCTGAGGCGCTGGCACAGGGTGCCCAGAGAAGCTGTGGCTGCCCCATCCCTGGCAGTGTTCAAGGCCAGGCTGGACACAGGGGCTTGGAGCAACCTGCTCTAGTGAAACGTGTCACTGCTTGTGGCAGGGGATTGGAACTGGATGAGCTTTAAGGTCCCTTTCAACCCGACCCAGTCTGTTATTCCATGATTTGGGCTCATTGTGTGCCTCATTTTTTTTTCCAGTAAGGCCATCAGTCTGCTCTGCTGGATGAATGTAGGAGTGTCACTGGGTGGTCTTCACTGTCTATCTGTAGTACTTAAGGCTTTCGGTGCCACCCTCTGTCTGAGAACAGCTTGCTCTGGTGGTGGTTCTTGGGGGAAGGTAGCAATGAATAGCATGCTGGAATGTTAAAACTGACCCAGCAGGTCCAGCAGCATGAATGATTCTGTTAAGTCTGACTAGAATCCAGCTTGTTCTATGTTGAAGTTATAAGGTCAACAGAAATAATACTATTATAAACTGTAGCCATAAAGTAAATAAAATCTGACTGGAAAGTGAGCTGTGTGAGCAATGTCACCTTGATACCTCCTTGGATATGCTCATTTCCTATTCACAGCCCCACATAAAGTAAACCCAGGCTTTCTGAAAACTTCTTTTGACCTCTTACCCAAAAGCAAAGTTTGAAAATAGGATTAAACATTGTCACCAGGGTAAATCAGGAGTCCTTACGGAAACAGTGACCTTTCTTGAGTAACCAGCTTGCTATCAGTTCCCATTTGGGCCCTGCCAGAGGGCACAGGTATCTTGGGAAATCCACAAGATCCATTTTCATTGTTTTCCAGTATGTCAAGAATTCCTTACAGAAGCTCAGCATTGTAAGAGGACGGGCTTTTCTATATTGGACTTTGCTGTAAAGCCTCAGAAGTGTTTTTCTGATTAAAAATAATTAGATAAATTCCTTGTCAAGTGCCATGATCATATATTAAAAATTCTTTAGTGCTGGGAAGGATGAAGTAGAGCTCTCCTTAGCTGCAAAGCAGGCCAAAGTTCCAGTGCCTTCGTCTTTCAAGATTTGTATCAGCTGATCATTTTTGCTGGCAATTGTAGACTGAAAAGTATGTAATTCCTCATGTTTGCTATTCGAGTAGGTCAGGATTCCAGAAGGACACATTTATACTTTTTTGTAGTAAATGAGTGCTGTCCTCTACCTTTTCTTTGTTGTTGTTGCATTCCTTTATGGGAAGCTTTAATTCAGGAAGAAAAATAAAGAAATCCAGGTTGGCAGAACATCTGTTTTGACAATCATAGAGTCCCAGACTGATTTGGGTTGGAAGGAACCTTAAAGCTCATCCAGTTTCACTCCCTGCCACGGGCAGGGGCACCTTCCACTAGACCCAGTTGCTCCAGGCCCCTGTGTCCAACCTGGCCTTCTTTGCTTATTTATTATTGTAAAGTTGATCTCTTCTCTGCCTTGCAACTTGCAAGTTTCACCATAGCACTTGGTCTTGGATTTTCAAACCTTTTGCATGGGAAAGATTTATAGAACTGGCTTCTCCTTTCACTGCTAGCATATTTTTGGATAGTTTTGTATTGTTGAAATGAGCAGACATTATTAACTCAACTGAGTGAACTTGCATATCTACAGGAGTTCTTTGGCAGCAATTAAAATTCAGATGGTTTGGATTGAATAAAGGTGCCAATTCCTTTACAAATTATGGCCGGCCTTTTTTCTTCAGTATTTGCTCTTTTTATTGCTTTGAATCTTTCATTAAAATTGCACTCATGTGACTAAATATCTTTTAGATATTAAAAATAACTAGTAAAACTTGGTAACTACAAGTATGTCAGTTTGCAGTCTGTGAATTGAAAGTCAAAGTCTTTGTGTACTGTAGTAACTCATCCTCCCTTCCCATCACAAACATTTATTTATTTATTCATGTATTTTTGTGCAAATACACGTCATGACATGATCTTTACCAGGAAAGGGATCATTGGGAGCATGTCTTTGTGCCAGTATTCAAAAGAGATGCTGAGCTATAAGTATTTCCACTAGAGAAATAGCTGAGGCCCAAAATTAAATGCATATGTCAGAATATCCTTCCTTGACTTGCTTTGACATTGAACATAAACCCTTCAAGTGAGTGTTAGCACAAAGTACTAAACTTCTGGAAAGCAAAATCTGCCTGTATTTCTATATGTTTTAATGTTATTTTTGGCTGATAGCTGGCATACTCCTATTCTTTCTGATCACAGAATGCACAAGAGGTGATGGGCCACATGCTGTAGGGCCCACTATCTGACAGTTGTTCAGCAGACATGAACCAGCATTCTCAAGTTTCCCACATGAAACACAGATCCAAGACTTGGCCTTCTTTTATTAAGTGATGACTTCTGCAAAAAGCAAGACCCACATTATTTCTGTCTGAGGCCAAGCTGTCCTGTTCCCATGTCTTCTGTCAACTTTTATCCCAATAAGATTGCCCTGTTCTTCTGAGCAGAGTGGCCCAGGTGTTAATCTGATACCTTGTCAGTTGTTTTATATCGCCTGGACTTGGAGTTTGAAACTACTACTCATGCTGCATGTGTACTAGGATCATGTCTGGAATAATGTGGTATTCAGTATGAGTGATCGTGTTATAGGCAGTAAAATGAAGAATAGTGTTTCCTGTGAGGAACCTAAACAAATAGGATTATTCATCATAATCTATACAGGGCATCATAGGAGATGCTTGAAGGACTGAAGCCCAAGGTTTTAATGTGCATAAGGACTTTTATAGAAATGCTTTAAATAATTAAATGCCATTTATTTTAATGCATCTTTAATGGTGTTTTGTCATTCAGAAGTTGTCTATTCTCTGGGTTTTACACAAAGATGAAATATTCAAAAGATTAATCTTACATTTCATCAGAATTTCATTTGACTTTGTAGATTGAAGTTTTCCCAGGCTGACCTTTACGCAAACATCTTGAGACTCTACAGGTGGAGTAAATATTTAGAAAATAATGCTGTATATTGCAGAAATTGTGAATTGAGAATTAAGTTTTGAGAGGTGGTCTTAAATTTAAGTGCCTGGGAGTTCATGAGTGCAAATATTAGAATTTACATCAAGTACATGCAGTCACACAGGTTTGTATGTTAATCCTGTGCTGAGTTTAAAAAGAGTAAAGGTCTTATACATGAAATAAAAGTGAGTCTTATTTCAATGTGTGACACCTATTTCCATGGTAGTAACATTACATGATTCTTGCCAGGTGAGCCCCCAGTCCCAAGCATGGTCCATAACTTCATGGATATAAATCAGATGTTAGAAACCCCCACTTATTGTATCTCTGAGACCTGTATAAGCAAGAATGACATGAGGTGTCAAAGCTGGTAATACTATTAATTTAAAGGCTCATGATATATCTGGTGTAACTGTGGTTTTGAAGAGTGAAGGCAAACTATGTGTAAGTACAGTGAGTACACTTTCGAACTTCTGTATGCTCCTCTTGCTGAAAGAATGTCTCTAGATAACTACTAAAAGGCACATATTCTCCCTATCTTCCTTCTTTCCGTGTGATGACATATGTTTGGAGTAGAACACTAATAACTTTCTTATTGTGACTGGCTGTGTCCTTCCAGAAATCTAAGCAACAACAAGATCAAGGAGATCCGAGAAGGCACGTTTGACGGAGCTTCAGGAGTACAGGAGCTGATTCTGACGGAGAATCAACTGGAGTCAGTGCATGGACGGATGTTTCGAGGCCTCACAGGGCTAAAGACATTGTAAGTGCAAAGACCTGGCTTTCTCAGTTCCTCTAAGTTGAGTGGAGTGCTCAAGTTCAGCAATGCCTGCTAAAATATCTGCCTCTAGACAACAAGCTACAAGGCAGGGTCTTGCATCACTGTCATGAAGTCTTTGGTATGTTTCTAGCCCTGGGTATGTTTGAGGTTTATCTGCTATTTCTGTAAAAAAAGCAGATTTTCAAAAATTTCAGGAGTAACATGATGGTGAAATTCATGGTCAAACGGGGGCACCTTTAATCATTTAAAACTTCTATTGTTTTGTTATCTCCCATGGAAACAAGGCATGTAGGAACACATTTGCTATTTCTTAACCCATCCTTCCACTCAGCCTCCACCCAAATTGGAACTATTGGTCTGCTTAAACCAAACCCCAGAGTAGGCTAGGAGCCTAAAAGATTTTTAATATCCTACAAACTGTAAGAAATCAGTAGGTAAAAGAAAGACTCAAGTTATTACCGCCACCAAAACAGGTAGAGCTAAACAGCTTCAGGGCAGGCATAAGCAAACTGTTACAGGTCCTGCTGACAGAGGGTAGCTGGCCACTCACTCTGCACCAAGTGTAGTAGCCTACAAGCACAGGTACGGCTCTGGACTAGCCACAGCATGCTCTTTCTTGCCCACACCAAGTACCATAAAAATGGTGTGGGTATACTATTCATGTGGTTGTGGGTGGGGAGAGTGTGAAGAAGACACAGATTCCAAATGCATAAGAAATCAGTTTGGTATTACTTTTGTGCTTAGACAACTGCTCTAACTTCTTTCTGAGAATTAACATGTAAACTCATAGTTCCTAACACTAATTTATCTTCGTGTTAATAGTTACATTGGAAGAGGAATCATAATCAAGATTTCAAGATGATGTTTAATCCACCCCATCCACCATCCTGAGAAGCAGTCAGGGGCTAGGCTTCTGGTGACAGCAAAGACTCGTGCCAGACAGTATCTATGCTGTGTACATAAAAAATACATCTCTTGCATAGTCTTCCCTGCTGTGGGAAGAAAGCACTTGACTAGGTGGATGCTGTCAGTAAATAGACTCTAGGAATCAAATGCAATTTAAAATCTGTGATTTATTCATTAGCAACAAATACTTATGTTACAGAATATGGTGGCATGATTACTTCAGTCCCTACTCAAGTGTAAAACGAAGGTTTCCCTTCAAGGACTTTGGCCTGTAGTGATGAATAGGGAACTTTTCATTTGCTGTTCCTTTAACATTTTTTCTGTGGTTACAGCCATCTGTTCTTTAATTTAACGGATGCACTTTAGGAAGGGATTTGAAAATAGCGCCCCTAGATACTAAATTAATTTTTATACTGTAAAGCAGCCTGTGGCAGTGCTCCTAAACAAAATTTGGCATTTTTTAATAAAAAGATGCTTAACATTCAAGCTATCCTGCTGACCTGACCTACATTTCCCCCCAGCCCATAATGCAGTCTAAATATACACAGCATGATATGAGGATCTGTAAGTATAAGTTTTCCTTCAGGAAGGGCACACAGTGCACTGTGAACCATGATTCGAAACCAAAGGTTTTGGCTTGAGGAATAGATATTTCTATCCATTAACTGACTTTCTTTGAGCATTAAGATTGTGATCTTTTATAAAGAGGCCCCACTGGACAGAGTCATGGTCCAGTTTTTAAAAGACTGTTTCCTGACATGTAGTAAAGCACTGTGCAAGATTGACATCCAAATTAGGTCATCCCATCTTGCACAACTACTGTCTGATACTTTACATACAGAACTGAGATGTTTCCTAGAGTTGCTAAGGCCTTACTTCTATTTACTACCGCCTTCATTTTAGAGCTTGTGGTGTTGACCAGGCTTTCAGGCAGCTTAGTATGCAAGGTGTGTGGGTCTGAGTCCTGCAATGCTTTTCTGGCACAATTTCACTCCAGTTGCAAGACCAGAACTGTTGAGACCGTGGAGCCTGTGATGGTAAATGTACTTCTCTAGGTACATTGATTTACTGTTCTCTAACAGTAAATCAAAAGCAATGTTACGTTCAGGTCTTAAACACTGAGTGTTTGTGATTACGCTGTGAATTTCTTCCCAGCCGTATCTAATCTCTCTTTGGTATTTTTCAAGTATCTATTGATGTAGCATCTGAGTGCCCATCTGGTGGATACCAATCTGAGATTTAAATCTGGACTTCTAAGGGAGCCTGAGTTTTCATTGTTCACTGCATGAATCTGATACCAGGGAATTAACCAGGATCAATTCACTGGAACAGCAGCATGAGCTGCATATATTTTGTGGATTTTCCATAGTATGCTTTAATTACTGGGTAATTTTTCACCTAAGTAGGAATATCACACCAGTGTAACGATGTTTACAGCCCCAGATGTTGATTGGCATGGAGTGTAACAAATAAACGTGAGCTTTTTTGCAATAGAGTGAAACAAGATACTACAGCCTTTCAGATTAATTGGGCTTTATTGTCGAGTTCATTGTTACCATAACAACTCAGAGAGATCTATCATCCAAAACATGGCACTGATTCATCTGATACAAACATTAAATGAAGACTAATTTATAGTATGGTTACTGCTTTCTGTCTTGTCAATTAATGAATATAATGACATTTCAAAGCGTGTGTTAGGTCTGGAATTCTTTCCTAAGCTATTCCTTGATTTTTGCTGAGGATGCTGTTTCCTTCCATAGTTACGCAGTGTGGATTACAAAAAACATCCACCACAGGAGTAGATGGGATGCAGCCAGTATTGTGATTGTCACACATTTCTGGCAGTCTTTCTCAACTGATCTCTGAAACACCTCTTCACTTACTCTCAGATATTTACTAAATGAAGACTTCAGGTTTTATTTCAAGGTTGCCACTAGTCGTAATTTTAACTGCATCCTACTTTGAGATGTGGATCATCAGCCTCTAATGTTGTGTGGAAGAAAGGCATTTTAAATTCATGAGACAATGTTTACGTAAATGTAGCCCTCCTATGACTGTGTTGTACTTCAGTAATCAATAAAAATAAAGCACAGTGCTTGCCAAAGCATTCATTGGTGCCCTAGATAAAGGACCTCTTATCCTGAAATCATACACCACCATCATCGCCATCTCATCACCCCCATAGTTCCTAATTCCCTGTTTTAATCCTTGCAGGATGCTGAGGAGCAACTCTATCAGCTGTATAAACAATGACACCTTTGCTGGACTGAGCTCAGTGAGGCTTCTTTCTCTGTATGACAATCACATCAGCACTATCACCCCTGGAGCCTTCAGCACATTAGTCTCTTTGTCTACAATGTAAGTTGTCTTGTTACAGTATGAACATGGCATGATGCTGTTATCCTGTGCTTTTGCAAAATCAAACTACTTATTGTTAATATGCAGAAAACCTCATTTAGGGAAAATGCAATTGCAGGTTTGGAGGATTCAAGGTGGGATTTAGGAAAACAGTTGAAAAACATCAGAATTGCTTCAGCTGAAGTGGCTGAAAAGACTTGGAGGCTGCCAGGCTGGGGCAGGTGACTCTTGTGCTGTGTCGTAGCTTATTCAATGCACAGCAGAAGTTCATGTAAAAGAAGCTCTGCAGCTTCAGAAGTCCGTAGCTTATCACACACTTTAGCTCCCTGAAGCTGCTTTAGTTTCAGTAGAGTCTAATTTTGTAAGAACAGCTTTCTTGGATTTCAGTTAAATTAGTTAAATATCAGAAGAAATCTACCAGCTAATGCTCAGATTTTCAGAAGAGCTTAAGAGGACAAAATACTCAAGTCCTGCTGATTTGAAAATCCCATTTTAAGTTGTTCTGATAAGTCTCCATCCTCCTTTGAAGTACTTTCCTTGCTTCTTAAATATGTTTACATGCTTTCTGTAGTGTGTCCATTGTAATAAAGTGCAGACTGATAAATATGGAATGAAAGTCTGCCCTTTGTTTCCAGCTGTGAATGGGGCCCCTGATGTTGCTGTTAATGGAAGTTGTCTGACCTGAAAATACACCCTGATTGTCCAGTCAAAATAAACTGTTGGTGCTACTGTATTTCAGGTTTTGAAAGCACTCCCCCCCGTCATGTTTGGAGGAAAAATGTAGTGTTAAATCTCAGCTACTTTGTTGCTTATACTTTCATTCTGTTACAACTTTTTACCAGCAAATCGTCTCTCATTTTGGCATTAGCTTCATACACCATAAAGAACTTTTCTTCCATTTACTTTCTGTAGTCCCAAAAGCCTCCCTGAAATTGATGGTCAAAGAGAGAGACACAACCAGACTCATTTTATTGACTGTTTTCAAGTCACTGTTCAAAGCAAGTGCTACTTGCTGAAAGCTTGTTCTCCCTGTGCTGCAAGCAGTGCCTTCCTGCTGCTCCTGCACTTGCATCCTTAATAGCTGTGACTCTGAATCAGTCTATAAAGTCCCTACTTTGTTTGCATAGAAGCTTATTTGTCATGTTTTGTTAGAAGATAGCCCATTTTCTTCTATTTTCAACTGTGGATAAAGATTATGATAATTTCTAACAACAGCAATTAGAGCTGCTGTTAATGAGAATGCCTTGCTTTGGCAATGATTTCTAATCATGCTGGTCATGGCAGGTTCCTAGCTGTGTCTTGATGAAAAAGTTTGTTCTTTGACACATTTTCACCCTGTGCATGATCTACAGGCAGGAGAAGGGATGCTTTTCACTTCTGTAGGCATTTGTTTAAGGCCATAGTGCTATTTCACATATAAATGCAAAATTCGGATGTGTTCATTTCCCAACATTGCTCCACTGTAGGTGGATGTATTAGATGACAACACGACTGAAGATAGATAGTATGACTGCTTTTCCTGTTCAACCCACACTTTGGGAGTTAATCGGGTATTGTAATGACTTATTTTTGCATCTATTAATGTGAGCCAGAAATTCATACAAAGTTTAACATTTCCATTTCTATCTTGGCATATTTACAGCGCTAAAAACTGTTGCTCCTTTTGTTGTTGCTCTTTGTGAGTCAGCCTCATGCATATTATCAAAACACAAATAGCTCTGGAAATAATGCTCTGATGAATGGTTATCAGTAGAGGAAGAACTTTATTTTGTAAGTTATTGGTTAAAAAAAAGGAGGTTTTTATTTGTTACTAGTAAAACTAGATAATGTAGCATTCGAATTTGAAGTGTGCCTGCACTTCCGCATACAAAGAGTTCAGGCATGTCTTTCAGTCCTTACCACACTCAAGGGGGCATATTTGCAAGCAGAACTGATTTTCCATGAGTTATTATTCTGATAGCTGCATGGAGCTAGAATGAGAACTGATTCATCAGAATGACATGAAACTATTCTAGAATAAATGTAACCCAAATTGCAGGGTACATTTTCAACCTAATTTCAATAGTATGCAGATGGGTTTCAGTATGTTTGTCTAACAAGTCACTAGAATCTATTTAAATCGTTAATATTCTATGGTTTCTTTGCAGTTTTTAAGAGACATTTGCAGTTGGATATGCATATTTCATTCCTCAGGACTTCTGTTTCCCCATGATTTTAGAAATATGGCTATGTCCTTGAGTAAACACTTGTGAATTTAATGTTAGTACAACATCTTTGCTAAAAGCTTGATTGCTTCGCTTCTGTTTGAATGGTTAAATCACTGCCTTACATGTAGGAACTCTGATTACTAATGATCAAGTTTTATAACAATTTGTCTACCCAACATTACTGCGTGTGACCTGAGAACTCCACTTGAATAGCCAGATTCTAAAATTAAGCTTTTGCAAGTAATTGGTCTATCAGTTGCTTTTCAAGTAGGGAATCTCTTGTCCCACATGATCCTTTGTAGAGAGCCTTGATCTTACATTATTTCCAAAAGTTGCATCACAGTCTTGCCATGGGAAGTACACAAGGACATGTTTGAACTTCATACTACATTAAAGCAACAAATCAGTCTGCAGTTGGAGAAAAAACAAAATCTAGGTGTTGCTAAAATGCGTAAAGCTACACCAGAAGGATGTGTGTAACACGTGACAAGAGAAATTTGTCCTTTTTTACCCAGAATTGCTTGGATTTCAAACCAGAACATTTCTTTCTCTATTTATTAATTTTATATGTAAAACCTGATTTCTTAGTTCCTAAGAAAAGCATAATCCAAATTCTAATCTAAGGATTTAATAAATTTTAGGTCATGTGTTAACCTGTGTTTGCCAAGAAGAAAGTCAGGGTTTGTGGATCCTTACTGCCAGCCTCCGCTCTGTAGAAAGGGGCCATTACTGTTCAGATGGGAGCATTTTCTGATTTACCGTTTGAATTCTTTTGAGAGTTTTTGCTGTGTCCCAGCAAGTCACTCTCTAGATGTGCAAAATGTTCTTTACATTCAGAGCTGCTGGTTTTCCACAAACACCTGCTGCTTGTTTTCAACTGCGGAATAGTTCATTTTAATGGATTTGTGTCACAGAAGTTGTTGTGTGAATATGATCTCACTTGCTTCCATCAGTGGAACAAGTGGCCTTTGAAGCATTGGTTCACTTAGCGTTGGAGGTTTGAACATTTGGTTTGAACACTCTGCGCATGCCAAAGTGTGTCAGTATGGAAAATATACAAGGCATCCTGCATGTGTTCTTATGGATTAAAGAAAATGGAAAACAATTCAGAAGGAAAGTAACTAGAATTAGAGTAATCCTTTCAGGACTTATCTGCACATTCTGCTTGAAAGCTCTGATGAAACCTATTAATTTCTCACCTTTATACTGCAAGTTAGCCTTACTTTCAAACCCTAGTCAGCATGAAGGAGGTTGAGTATTTTCATTACAGAACATTATGCTGGGTTTTCTCCTGCCCCCAGTTCTCCCTCTACACAATGTACAACAGTCTGTGCTTGATCCACATGTAATTACACATCTGGAGCTCCAGGCTAGTGCAGTGATTGAAGTACGCTCTTTTACAATGCAGAAAGCAGCTGTAAATCATATTGTGGGTATGTGCCGCTGGCCTAGAACCGATGGAATTTAAGACCTGCTTTGGCTTTGTTTTCTTGCTGCCACACCTCAACTGTGTCGTATGTTTTTGTCTTCAACAGCATTGTTTTATGAAGGAATTGCTTGGCTGAAAACCTACGTGTTTAGGTTTGTAAAAGTATGTTGCAAGTGAAGACTTACAAGGTCTTTGGCTACTCCACCTGCATTTGAAGTGCCTGTTTCTTTAAGGCCTTATTTTTTTTTTTGTCTTTAAGATATGATGTGCTTTAGAGAAATTCCATTATCATCTTTTGTCTGTACTACCAAAATAACAACTCTTGGACATACTCAGATATGATGTGAGAATTCCATCGGTGTTGGTTTAGATACTTCATTTACCATACATGGAGCTCTGACAGCTCGTTTTTCTTCAATGAGGCAACCTCAAACTAAGGCTATTGATTCCCCCTGTCTGTATACATTATATAGTCAGCCTTATGGGTTTTTTACAAGGAACATCAGCCTCTTTCCTTCATCTGAAGTTTAGTGACAAAATCCCTTACACAAAAGTTATGGATAGGCATTTCAGTACAGGACTCCAGGAAAGTGTTTTTCCAAGACACTCAGCACTACTTCTAGTTAGCTTAGAAAGATGGATGCTTAAAATAACTCTCACACTCATCGAAAGGATCACAGGCTATTAAGAAATAGAAATGAATAATATCTTTTATATACTATCTATGATACAGGTGCTCTACTGAGAAACTTGCTGTACGTCTACTTTTGCATGGCTTAAAACAGGGTGGACAGGGCTTCCCTTTTTTAAACTCTGCTAACCCAAGCTGAGTTAAGAATCCATCCCTCTCACAGAGGGTGTCAGATGGTTGTTTTGGGTACTGCACAGCACAGTTGCAGCGAGGCTGCAACGAGGGTAGATTGCAGTGAATCAGCCAGTAGAGCAGATTCTGACTGTAGAAAGCTTTGTAAGAAGTGGTCTAAGATAACAGTGCTGCTTTTTATATGTATATTTGTGCATACAGAGTGCTATCTTTACTGTTTCAATAGGAAACCCAAATTCAGGTTGCCAGTGGCTACCTCTGGCACTGGTTTGTATGGACTGTAATACAGGTGAGTGGGAAGCATGAGCACACTGGGGCCAGGACCAGTGTGCTAAGCCACATGGGGAGTGGTACATGTAGCTCAGTGTTAAACTTTTCCATGGCATTACCCCAAGTGATCCTGTTGAAAATCATGCATTTGTGGGTGCAATGTGTGAGGTGAGTTTGACTTGCATGTGAGTGGTAGCTTGGGTTGAAATCCACTGTAAATACAGCCCTGATAGTGGTGTCAATATCTCTAAATATTAGTTGTAGCAGTGTGTATTTTGGTTTATAAACATATATATATGCATATTTTTTAATTACAACCCTAGTCCTAGTCTGAAGCCTGCATAGAACTTCCCTGATCTGTAGAAAAGAGGAGGATCTCAGAGAAACAGATGTCAGGAAAAAGCTTGGATTTGGAACCCATCATCTTTATGTAGGTATTTCTGTATTTCTGTATGTTCATGTTTGATGCAATTATGTTTTGTTCCATTTCAGTAATTTGCTGGCTAACTCCTTTAATTGTAACTGCCATTTGGCCTGGCTGGGAAAATGGTTGAGGAAGAAGAGAATTGTCAGTGGAAATCCACGCTGCTTGAAACCCTTTTTCTTAAAGGATATTCCAATCCAAGATGTAGATGTCCAGGACTTCACCTGTGACGGTAAGAAAAAACAGTTCTTCAGAAGTATGATCATGTTGGCACCTTTGTGAGCACTGATGAGGAAGAGAGCCATCTAGAGCTGAAGAGATCATTGTTCCCTACCTGGAGTTCATTTTAGTTCTTGATTTCCAGCTTCTGAATTTCTACTTATCTACGCCTAAATATAAGAACAAATTTATTCTAGACAAATGCTCTCCTTTGTGTAATCCTGGTGTGATCCTGGCCCTTCCTCCCACTTCCTTATTCATACACTTCGTTAAAACTGTGAAGCCAGCGGGAACAGTGCTTGCTTGGAAAGTCTTTTAGTTCTGGATACTGTTCAGTTTCACCAATAACAAGTGTGAATACAGGGAAAAAAAAGTGGTTCATCAGTAGCAGTCATTTTTCTCCTTCTTAGTAGCTGGTGCAGTGCTGTGTTTTTGACTTTCAGCCTGGGAACAACACTGATAACACCGATGTTTTTAGTTGTTGCTCAGTAATGTTTACTCTGACCAAGGACTTTTCAGTCTCATGCTCTGCCAGAGAGGAGGGGAAGCCAGGAGGAAGCAGAGACAGGACGCCTGACCCAAACTGGCCAAAGGGGTATTCCATACCACAGCACGTCATGCCCAGTATATAAACTGGGGAGGAGTTACCTGCAAGGCCCAGATCGCTGCTCGGGTCAGGCTGGGTATTGGTTGGTGGTTGGTGAGCTATTGTATCCTCTCCTCTTGTTATTTCCCTTATCATTATTATTGGTAGCAGCAGTGGTTTGTATTATACCTTAGTTACTGGAGAGCTGTTGTCTCAACCCATGGGAGTTACATTCCTCTGATTCTCCTCCCCATCCCTCCGGGAGCAACAGGGGGAAGAAAGGTTGGGGAGTGAGTGAGCAGCTGCGTGGTTCTGAGTTACCGGCTGGGCTTAAGCCACGATAGTATTTGAAATGACTCAGTGATGCTTTGCTGAATCCATATAGATTTTACAAAAAAAAGAAAAAGAAAAATCCTGACATTTCTTTCATTCTCCAGGTAGTTCTTTGTCTTCTGATCAAGTAGATTTTAAAGAGAATAGTAAGGAGAAAAACTGACTGATAACTGCATGACTAACTTGACTTGCAGGCTGTGATTGCCTGTTAAGACCAGATATGGTGGAACTGCAGTTAAGTCATAGCTCTACAGAGACCATGAGGGTGATAGAAGTTTCCTACTTAGAGTGGAAATGAATTCCTGTCCCAGTTGTGCAATCTGGCAACAGGCCCTGGAGCTTGGGCTCAGAGCTCTAAGGACTCCAGTTTAGTCAGTAAAGAATTATTTTATTTTACTTCAGGAGAAATAAATAAATCAATCCTAGCCCACAGAATGACATTCCACACTTGGGAGCTTTCACTATCATAGAGTCACTCAGACAGCCGTGGTGAATGGAAGGTAGATGGTGACAGGGTGTAACACACGGAGCTTAGGGGAAAATTGAATATGCTGAAGAAACATTCTCTTCCTGCAGGTTTATGAAAGACTTAGGCTGGTTGTGCTCCTCCATCCCTCTGAGTACAAACAATTCCCTACCCATACATTGGTGGGTAATTTTGTTATCTTGCATCAGGATTTGCAGTCTTATTCTATCATCTCAGTGCTCATGAGCACTTCCAGCAGAGCAAAGGAAACAGATCTGTCTCAATTAGTCCTTGCAGGGGTTAAAACAAAGTTAAAGCAAGCTGGTGTGTGCTCATGGGTTGAAGCACTGTGTCTCCATGCAGGTCAGCTCAGGCTGCCTGCACTCACCAGCAGTTGTGCGGTTCCTCTCACTGTCATCTAGAGAATGTGCCACTAAGTGTTTCCTTTCGTACACATCATGGCACTGTAGCATGCATTTGCCTTATGCTTTGCAAAGCCTGTTGCTTTTAGGGAAAATGCATGCTTTAATGTTCTTAACTTCAAAGAGTTGGTTTCTTCTGCAGAAAGCCCATTGTTCTTCTGTTACAAGATTTAATCTGCTGTTTATGGACCTTTGAAACCACTTTTGGAGAAAGTAGATATTTTTATGTCTGCACAGATGGATCACCAGCAGTTGGAAGTATGCTGCTCAGTTTGTTCTTTGCCTGGTTATCCTTGTCAAAAACAATGAGGTTTTACAATTCAGATGATAAATGAAGTGCCAGGCTGACTTTAAAAAGGAAAAAATAAACAGCTAAAAAGCTGAATTTAAAAAAGATCCTCCTAAAGCAGAGTAGATAGCAGATGTCTTCTGTCTAGATGAATTTAAGGCCAATGTTCTGGTCAAGTTCTGCATTTCATCTAGTACATTGGAGCTGGGGGAGGATTTGGGATTCACATAACTGATTTTACTGTAATTTGCAAAACTAGAGAGAAGTAGACATTCCTTGGAAAAAAACATTCATTGGAAAATCTATTTATTTGGGTTTTGAACCATTGTTCATGTTGCCTGAAGAATGTGTATGAAGGCAGCTTGATCCAAAGCATTGGATCTACTTTATTGTGATGATTACCCTGGATGCAGGGATGTTCCACCTTGGTCCTCATAAGCAGTTGTCTTCAAGGTGCATGACTTTGGGCTGTAAAGCTGCCTTCCTAATGCTCCGTTTCTCTTCCACTGCAGGTAATGAAGAAAGCAGCTGCTTGCTTTCACCTCCCTGCCCTTCCCAGTGTACCTGTGTGGACTCAGTGGTACGCTGCAGCAACAAAGGGCTGCGGATATTGCCCAAAGGAATTCCCAAAGACGTGACTGAGCTGTAAGTTACCTTTTACACAGCTTCATTCGTGAGAAGTTAATGAAATTACATCATAGTGAGGCTTTGTAGATCCTTGGGGTTTTCACCTTTGACTTCAGCGACTGGTGTTTTGTGCTTTGGTGCTTTCCATATGTTTTCGCTGTTATTTTTATATTTGTCCCTTGACTGAATACATTGCTCTATAATGGGAACAGAGTTTATCTATCCTTGTACCTATTAATTCTGTGTGCAGGGAACAAATGCATATATGAGTTTCAAATAATGCTGTAGTGCTTCTGAAAAGCCCAAGCTCACAACAGGCAATTTGAAAGGATGATGAAAGTATATTCCTGACTTACCCAGCTGTGAGCTAATTATCCTCTGAGGAGGTTAAAAAAAGGGGAAAAGAAAGCCAGTGGTGGAAACAAACAATGAATTCTTTCCTCCAAACCTCATGAAATGGCTAAAATATCAGATAATTACGTTAAATTGTAAAGTAAATTCATCCTAGTTGAGAGCCGTCTTTCTAGTTGTCTTTTTCATCTACCCCTCGCTATGACTTTATACTGGATTTTGGTTCTTTCCATGGAAAGAAAACACACTGGTGGAACTGCTTGGCTTAACAGTTGGCAATAGAAACACTGAGCTTTTCCCCTTCAGGTCCTTATTCAAATCTATCCCAGGTGAGTCGTTACTGAAACTAGTTACAATCTCATCAACATTTCTATGTGAAAGTACTTGGTTGAGTTAGTTGGTATGTTCAGTGAATTTTGTAATGAATTATAATCTGATTCTGCCATTTTTTTGTGTCTAGTATTGTTTTTACTCTTTAGTAACAAGGCAGCTGGTGAATGAAGTGCATATTTTAATCTCTTCACGGTGGGAGAATGAAGTTTGCTCTGTTTTTACTGGTGGTGTAGTCAAATATAAGACTGTTGCTGAGTGAGGAGCATATGTCCTTGAGACACTGTTGACCAGGGCATGGTTAATACTGGTTTGAATTAAAAGATAAGTCCTGGCCTGGCCTGCATTCCCTTATATATTTCCATCAGTGATAAAAAGCCTGCAAGGTGGTTTCTGCTCTGTTCTTGTTCAGGTTTCATTGCATTCAAATATGACTTGCCAACAGTAAGATCTCACAGATGTTACTTTGATTGCCACTGCCACATGAGAAGTTTTTCTATTTCAGTTTTGCATATTGAGTTTTACTGATACTATCTGATACACTGGTGGCATAGCTTTCACAAAAAGAGTGAAATTAATCTCACGTTCTTGAAAACTGCTATATTTCTTCAGCTATTTCTTGGCAAATGAGGCAATAGCCTGGAACTGAGCAGTTTGAGTTCGTTGGAGTTTACGTGACTGTCTTCTTCAGTAGGAGCCTCTTGGCTGGGCAAGCCTCTAGTTCAGCTTTCTGCTTTCAATCCAGAAATGTGTCAGCAGAACACAGTCAGCCATGGCCTGGCTGGCTCTGAATATTTCATGTCCCGCAAATATAACCTTGAATCTGTCCCAACTGTCTCAAAATTCAATCCTGATCTCACTCTCCTCTCAACCAACATAAACTGAGCTCCTTATTTGTATCTATACCAAAAGATGAGCTGCAGGTACTGACACTAAAAATGTCATGTCTCTGTGGAAACTGTGACAAGGATGAAATAAATTACACATATTAAAAAAAAAGTCAGTCTTACTTGCCTGCCTTCTGCTTCCAGACTGAGATAAGGTACTGCCCATAATCTAGAAGGGATTATATCGCCTACCTCTCAAGTTGCTGGCATGAATTTAAGTGTTTTTATTGTTCTGTGTTTGAGATTTGTCATTGCTGCTGTCGTAAACAGCATTGTCTGTGGAACCCCACCTCTTGCTTTGCTTTGAGGACAGCTATAACTTGGCAGAGAGAACCCTGGGCACAGGGTAAAAGACATGGATCTTGTTCAAACTATTTGCAGTCCTTACACCAAAATACCTCCATTTCCCTAAGGCAGTCTTGGGTCCCTTGAACTGTGTCCTAAGGCTTATAATCTTACAGCTGGTTTGTTTCTGTGGTGGCAGTGGATATCTGTTTAGCACTTGAAGCCAGGAAGTGCGTAAGTTACTTGCTGCAGAAGATGCCACGGCTTTTGCATGGCTTGAGAGAGCCACAGCAGCCTCCAGGGCAGGGATGTCTTCTCCTTTCTCACCGATACAGCATTCAGGTGCTCAGATAGATTAAGAACCCTTGCCCTGGGTTATTGCAACCCATGCTGCCTGTCTCCCCTTCCATGCTCTCATGTCAGACCTCTGGGCAGTGTGCTGGGGTCTCCCTGCTCCCAGCAGGCACTCGCAGAAAACCAGGATCATGAAGAACAGAAGTGATGCCAAGAGGAGGACAAGGGTGTAAAAAAGCCTCTTGTCCTGGTAGCCCACAGCTCCCTCCCTGTGGAGGCCTTAGCAGGGACTTGATGATCTTAAAGGTCTTTTCCATCCCAGTTGATTCAGTGATTCTGTGATGCAGGGGAGCATTTTAGTGAAATCTTTATGAATGTACTGGTCTGACATTTACAAACTTCCATTATCGATATATTTATCTGCAAGGCACATTAGCTGCAGTGCTGTTGATTAAACTGCAGTGTGGTTTTGCACAACATGGTTAAAGAAAAAGAACTGCCGTGTATCTAGATAAACCAGTCTGTTATGTCTGAATAGAGCCTTCTCAGAAGTTCTTTTAAATTCTCTTAAAGGTCTTAAAATAGCCTTAAACAGCATTTTTTTTCATTGTAACAGGTATTAAATAGCAACATACAAAAATGAACGTACCTCTTGCACAGGCACACAGGGAAAACATTACCCTTTGCTGGATCAAATTTCCCTGTACCTAAGCTCAGCAAAAAAGATCCCCAGCAATGTTTTATTACATGGTAGACTGGAGACACAGGCTCACTCCTCCCAACTTTCTTCCTGTGTTTCTGTTTTGGATGTTTATATAGACAAAACATGTGAAAACCATTATCTCCTTCACATTTAGAGGTTGGAATGGCAGGAGACATCCCTGTGTTTGGTTTGTACCACCCTTGGGAGGAGGGATTACCTTGGCAGAGAAACCTTCCATCTAGAATAGAGTTGAAAAGATCACTAGGTCTCCAAGCTTTTTAGAGGGATGATGATGCAAGAAGTTACTGTTTTCCAGCTATTCCTTCACAAGACCCTGTCATCATGGGCAAGCCCTCTTTCAGCTTCTTGGGAATAGGGAAGTATTACGTTGTTTCTTACAAATTCCTTTGCCGTATATTTACGTACTGCCTACTTTGTTTCCCACTGTGCTTGCTCTGAAGAGAAGCCTTGGGGTTTTTTGAACATACTCAGTTTTCTAGTCCAGATGTTCAGAAGTAAAATGTTGATGCAATGAGCTAGTTTGGAACTTAGCCTTGCTGCTGCTTAGTGTTTCAGGCCTTCCTTTTCTTTATTCCCCACCCACACCCCCAAATCTGTTTGACCTAACTTTCCCATGCTCTTTTTCGTTTTCCGTATTACTTAAGCATGCTAGCACTAGGTTTTTCTCTTTTATATTTTTTTTTTATTTTCACAAAAGTAGAGTCTATTTCTAATAAAGTCTTATCTGACAGCATCCAGCTGCTTTTATGGACCTACAGCAAATAATATTTTGCACTGGGGAAAAACATTGGAGGCAGTTAATGTGGATGGCGTGTGCATAAGCTGTAACATAATAAGCCTGGTGTATTTTAGAATAAATATGTACTAATCATGTCATCTCTACGCTCCAAATGTTGTTTCGACACTGAACTGTATGATAGCACTGATGGGATTGTTAGGAAAAACCTGCATCCATACATCATTGTTAGTGATCCTTTCTCTTTCCATGTATGTTAATACATACTAGTATTTGCATTCCTTTTACTATTTCTCTTTCTCTCCTCACAAACCTTCTCATTCCCATGTGTGCTTTTGGTAGGTTCATTTAGCCTCCAGGCTTATTCAGTACATGGCACAACAGTTTTCACAAGTGGCTCCTAGCAGAGATCCACTCAACTGTCTTGAAGCTCTTCAGCTCCCACCTCTAGTTTGCTGCCTGTTGCTGCCTCAGCCTTAGCACAGCACCTTTATTCAGCTGTATCTCCACTTGCCAGAGGATTTTGACAATCACTTCCCATAAATTTGCTGTCGCATCTATGTGGAGGTATTTCCCACCAATCTCAACCCTCCTTTCCATCTTCCAACAAGGCGCTTGTGGTTTCTCTTGACTTGTGACAAAAAATAGCAGCTCATACTTGGGCCATGCAAACGGCTGCAATAGATGTGTTCTAAGCTGTTAGTTATGGTACATGTAGAATATTGTAACCATTTAGTTGCATTTTTCAGTATGCCTCTACTGCTCTTGATCAAAGGGATAACTCTGAAGTGAGATATCTGATGAAAATCATCTGCTTGAGAATGCAAATACTTTTATACACTGACCCTTAACACAGAATTCAGTGACTTTTCCTTTGATAATAAGGGAGAAAAACAATTTATATCAAAGCTTGGTCTTGCATAGTCCCATGTCGTAAAAGGTTTTACAGCCTGCTTAATTCACTGCAGAGGAAAATCTTCTCATTGAGAGAATGGATAGTTCTGTAGAAGGATACTTTAGTTACAGGGGAAATAAAGGACTTAAATCTGCATTTCAAATTTGATAGTTTAGAAAAAGTAAATTGTATCAGTACTATCAAATAATGTATTCAGTGACTGACTGAAGTTTGAGTACGTATCAGAAAGGTGACTTTAGCACCAATAGAAACGGAAGGTGAGTTTAATTTTAGGGCTTCACTTTTCTTCCAAGCACAGCCATGTTTCTGTGCGTCAGACTTGTAGGTTGGGATCTGATGTACAAATACAGCAAAATCCAGAGCTGCCAAAAGTTAAGCACATTCAAGATCCAGATTTGTACCTAGATCTGTACTAGAATTTTGTTTCTTCTCAAGAAACTGTAATTGAAGCTCTTGAAATTCATGCTTTGTGGATGTTCTATCTTTCACAGCCCAATTCTCTTCCAGACCACCAGTTTTAGGAAGTGAAACTTGCCTCAAAATTTTAGGATCTTGGGTATCTGCTTCAGAAAGTTCAGACTATAACTTAATTTTAGACCTGCATAAAATTGTCAAGTACCATCTTTTTTGTAATGTAGCATTCTACATGAAATATTTAAAGAAATTAAAGGAAAGGCTTTGTGCCTTTTCAATTACTGCCTGAGAACTGATTTCTCTCTCCAGTTTCTTCTCTTAGCACAGATTGCTGCTGTGAGCTTGCCTTTATGGCTGAATAGACATTTCAGTACAAGAAAGGTTCCAAGTGATTCCAATCGTTACGTGACGCTTTGGCACCTTGTGCTGGTGGTTATATCACCTCCAATCCACGTGGTTTCAGTATAAAAATAGACAAGTTGGAAAAACGAACAGCTGTCAACTTTTATGCATAGTTTTAAATATTTTATATGTGATGTTAGTGTGTGTGGAAGGTGCTGGATGAGCCCTGGGGCTGCTGCGAGCACTGGGCTCCGTGGTGCAGGCACTGAGCAAGGCATGACCAGGCCCCACAGTGCCACCATCCTGGCCAGACAGTTACCTGTCCCAGCATTTGGTCACGGTTTAGAAGAAGCCTTCAGTGGTTGGTATTTGGTGGCTTGGTTTGGGTTTTTTTCAGTGTTGGCTCTGGTAACTGCTTCTTGGTTACAAATCATTATTGAGACTTCAGGATTCCCAGCAGCAGTCATGGGTAAAAAACAACTTCCAGTCTGATACCCAAACTACAGAATCTAGAGACTTTAGGAAGCAAATGAGCTTGGTTTGGATACTAGTCAGTGTGTCTAAATTAAGGCAGCTAACACCCACTCTTGACTCTGACTATATATTAATAACCTGACTCTGAGCGTGAAGTTTTTCATTCATGACAGTATTTATTTGCATACCAGATGCCATGCATATCATCTTCCTTTGGCTAAGGATTGAAAAGAATTACAAAGACAATCTTCCCTCTGCATCATTCTGTTCTGGCTTGTGTTGTTTTGTTTGGGCAGGGCATCTGTAGCTTCATCCATGTTTTCTTATTGATATGTACATATAGAGTCTTGTAACTGGGCTGCACCCCTTCGCCCTCAGGAATAATCCTTTGATCCCCTGTGTCCACCTTCCAGCCCCCATATGTCAGCTTCAGCCCAGCAAGGTGCAGAGCTGCTGTCCCCCTGTCCCTGCTCTGATAAGAGGCCTGGCCTGCAGCAGGCAGCAGCTCCCCTGCAGCAATCACTGTCTTCCAGTGTTGCATCTCGAATCCTCCTGATTCTTGGCATGTTCTTACACCATAAAAGTCTGATTATTTCACATTCATTGCACTTAAATGTGCTTTCAAAATGAATGCCTTTTGCTTAGAAAGTCTTGCCATTCTTAGTATAATGCAGTGAGAGGTTTAACAGTGGGGAATTGTCCTTATGTCTGCATGAGAAGTATATTAGCAGTAATTTTTCAGTGTGTTTGTTCAGAAATTATACCACTGGTAGAAGCATTGCAGCTTTCTGCTAGCGCATTTCTATAACCATGGAATTGCTTGCAGTACAAATCCAAAGCTATTCAGAACAGATCTTCTGTAGGGGTTTAACTCCAGGGGTCTGCATGTCTGTTAGCCTGAATAATGAAGCGCTGGAATAAAATGTGCACCTTCAACTTTCGATTGCACGAGAGAGTAAAATGGGGGGAAAGCCTTGGCTAGCCATCATCAGTTCGTTCAAATTGCAGGCTATTTCATATTGGGATCAACAAGAGTATATCCTGAAAATATATTTCTGAAGATTTCAACACATTGCAAGAGTTGAGTCTCCTTTCCTAAAGGAAATTCATATATAGCTTCCATATACATAATGCATGACCTGCTTTTGATTTCCTTTGGAAATCCCTTGGATTTTACATTTGGAATAAAGACTAAAACCTTAACCTACCCTGGTGCATGGGTTTAAGATTTGTGACTTTCTGGGATGAAAGAGAAGGCACAGGCTCCCAGCAGCTTGCTGCGTCCATCACAGACCATGAGTGGGGAAATGAGACATGATCTGCCCTGTTCAAATAGTAACATATGTGCCTGAGTCCTGAGGATCTTCTGTGTAACAATTTATGAGTGAATTCACCAAGGAACTCAATTTTCAAAATAATTTATAACGAGTTTAGTCAAAATGAAGCAAGTGACTTTACACTTGCTGGATGTGAATGTCCATGGGAGGTGTAAACGTGGCGTAACTTAACCTGTGCTTTGGTTTGTGATGGTCTGTGTCAGCAGAGCATCTGCCACTACATTGCAAGGTCTGTTTGCTGGGCAATGTTGTCACTTGATGCTTGTGATCATCATGAATGGAGACATGAATTTGTTCACTTGGGGGGATTTCCATTAAGGAAGGATGTTGCTTTTGGTAATGCAAAAGCCTGTGGTCCTGCTAGTCTGACCTAACCCTAGCAGGAGCAAGGTCACCTCCACTGCATGCTCTGAAATAACTCTGCCTCAGTGGGATCCTGTGCACCATGAGCCTGGGGTAGTTTAGTTCAGAAGAGAGCTGAAGCAGGAGAAAATGGTGAGAGGGCATTGTACTGAAACAGAAGGGGGAGATGCAACAGTTATAAAGTGGATTATGTAAGAAATTACTAGTGTTTACTGATTCTGAATGATGTAAAAATAAAGTTTTCTTGGATTTAGTTTACACAAACATCTCTGTGTTGTTACAGTTAATGTAGAGAAGGAACATATAGCACAGTAATAATCTATTCTTATTATTGTTTGCTATAGTAAATGCAGAATAAGGAGGTCTGTTGCCAAAGAAAAGGAAATGGTATGTGTGGGATAAAAATTCTTAACATGATTACTGGGTTATATTTCTGGCAGTAGAGGCAGCACACTGGGTGTTGTGGTGTCTGTGGGCTGCATTTTCTGGCTATGCTTCATTATCTTTCAAAACATGCCGCATCAATTGTATTGCCTATGTCTACCTTAGGAAAAATCATAGAATTACAGAATCTTAGAACAGTTTGGGTTGGAAGAGATCTTAAAATACATCCAGTTCCAACCCCTGCCATGGGCAGGGACACCTCACACTAGACCAGATTGCTCCAAGCCCTGTCCAACCTTGCCTTGAATACTGCCAGGTATGGGGCATTTACCACTTCTTTGAGCAACGTGTTCCCCCAAAGCATCTTGTAAGGAAAGGAAATACCACTTCACCTTGTATCCTCACCTGTGGAGGGAGTGTCCTGGTTTCGGCCAGGAATGGCTTCCTCCTAACACACTATTTCTGAGAAGGTTGGGTTTGTCTCCCAGGTAGACATGGCTTCTGGCAGATGTCTGGAGTCACCTTGACAGTGTCATGGCACTGCAGTGGTCAGGTTCCATTGGAGTCTTATTACTCTGGTATCTTCCAGGGATTCAGTTTCACCCCAAAGCCAAGGTTAAGGAAAAGAACTCCAGCTCTGTCTTACTTTTTTTTGTAATAAGCAGGAGAAGCCCCACATCTCATTGCTGCCATATGCTTTAGCCCTGCTGTTCATGTGTCTGAATAGAGACACATTCAGCGGTGTCTCAAACAACTTCCACGCTGGAAAAACAAGCTATTTTATTAAATACACTTAATGCTTGTAGGAGGAGCCTGTATTCAAAGAGAACTTGGTCTTCAGTATTCAATTTGTACCAGGTTTTCCTCCTGTATCAGCGTACTTTGGAAAGGAAAGATAATGAGGGCCTGTATCCCATAGCAGGAACTGCTGTAAAGGATGTGCCACCAAACTCATGGGTATTTGTATTGACACTGGAATAAGTGAGACTTTTTGCAGCACAGAGATGTGGCAGTGCAGCTCCTTTCCCAGTTCTGGGTGTACAAGAAACTTATGTGCAAAGACAAAACCTCTCCTAACAAGGTCAGTCAGCAGTCAGCATTCTTACAGTAACTTGTTAAAGGTAAGTTTAAGTTCAGAGCACAAGTTGTACAATTTTTCTCCCTTTCTTCAGTTTCTGTCATAGAAGAACCAGATGGTCTTTTCTGTTTGCTGTAGGCCAAAGATCCTTTATTTGCTTCCAAGTCCTAATAAATAAATAGATAAAAATCAATATGCTTTGCACGTGGGATAATTCACTCATAAAGAAGAAACTGTTACAGTTTCAGAGCAATGAATCAAAGATCATTTCCTTGGTGCCTGTAAGTGACAATTCATGGTGTAGATTGAGGGACAGGAGTTCTTGTTAACATGTTTGTGTAATGGCCAAATCTGCCTTTTTTCAGGTACCTGGAGGGAAACCATCTGACTGCTGTGCCAAAGGGGCTCTCCACCTTCAGACACCTCACACTGATGTAAGAAACACCTGGTTTCAATGTCAAGAAAATTACCTGCCTCTTTCTGCACTAGCTTGTAGGTGGAGCAGAAACGATGTGTATTTGAGGAAAAGAAAAAAACAAAACAAAACCATACAAACCCCAAGCCCCTTCTGTAATTTAAGTTGGGAAAGTTTCACAGTGGCCACTGGTGCCAGTAAATGTTCATAAAGAGTGTAGAAAGAACAAGGTGAGAGAGAGCACTAGAGCCCTTTCCTCTGCAGGAGCTTCCAGCCTCTGCGAGAGGACTAAATTCACACCCAGGTTGCAAGTTTCACTTGGCAGATTTATCAGTGCGAGGCTGTAAAGGTCATTAGCAGAGGAGATGGCATTAATTTGTTGTAGGTGAGGCAGTATTTATAATGCTAAGGCAATGAAAATTTGCATAGCTGTCTCTGCTCTGAACAGTCATGCAGGTAGAGACACAACTAGACCTTGTTCAGTAAATTGCTCTCTGAGATACACAGGAATGAAACTTCTTAGCTGAACAATTTATGAGAAGTTTTCAGGTGCTGTTAGAATCAGCTCTGTAGATACTCCAGTCAAATGGGCAGAACAATTTCAGACCAAAATACGGAAGGAAAACTGGAATCCTGTTTTAAAAGAGTGGGGGTTTTTGGAAACATTTCTGATTTTGTTTTTCAAGGGAGAACACAACAAACCAAAATGTTCTATTTGAGCCTAAAAGACTTTTTCAAAGTGAAAAATGACATTTTGTTCTAGTAGCTGTCAATGTGAAGAACATATGGAAATGTTCTGTGATACTTTGCAAAGCAAGTTGGTACAGTAGATATTCACTTGTGCTTGTATCATTTATTGTTTATCCTTCTTCAAAAATATTGCTTGTATGCACTGATATTTTCTTTTTTGAATGCTTTATGCTGGAAATAGGCCTTAATATTTCTGACTGAGGCTTTTCAGGGGAGTCTAATGGGCTTTGCTTTTAGCGCTTTTTCAGGGTTGGTTACAAAATACATCAGTATTATAATATGTGACTTTTTAATTGCTTCAAGCATTTTGCTGTGCAGATATTCTGTAATCTTTAAAAAATACTTTATTTCTCAATTCATTATATTTTCTCTATGTGTTTCTTCAGTGATTTGAGCAACAACAGCATAAGTGTATTGGCCAATCATACCTTCAGCAACATGACTCAGTTGTCAACACTGTAAGTAGTCCAAAGTCTTGGTAACGGTTGTAATTGCTTTTCAGATACCATCTTAGGTGTTGAACAATTAGTATATATTTTGTTCCTTAAGCATGTGGCTTTCCATGCTGCTTTATGTTTGAGTTGGTAGTGAAATAATCAACAAAAATAGAATATTGTTATTCTGGTTTATCGTTTTTCCAGCATCTTGAGTTACAATAGACTCCGGTGCATTCCAGTCCACGCCTTCAATGGGCTCAGGTCTCTTCGAGTGCTGTAAGTACCACTTCTTCGATGCAGCTGAGTTGCAGCTTATTAGAATGCTGTTGGTGGCAGGAGGTGTTTAATGAGCAGATGGCTTTCACTTGATCCAGTAGTCATAAATATTTTCACACAATTAGCTTCAATGTACTTGTACTTGGGTGCAATATGTCCGGTAATGACTAATGCAGGTGAATGCTAAACCTTGAAAAGAAGCAATTACACATTTGCAAGATAAATGTCTTTCCTCTGATAGTTCAGGAACAAGAACTATCATGAAAACAGGCCTCCAAGAGACTGCATAAGGTCTGTTTGTCTCTTCTGCTTAAACAATGTTTGGGTGCCCCACAGGAAAGGACTTTTTGTGAAAAATTGATCATGTTTTAGAGTGTAAGTTTCTATTGGATGCTTTAATGAGACTGTCTTTACTGAAACCTGCTGAATATTTAGCATATTGTGTATTAATTCAGATTTCTGCAGGCAAGGTTTACATAAAAATGCAATCTTCTGAAGGTAAGATAGAAGAACCCCCACTAAAACAAGTAAGTGAGTGGCTAGGCACCAGTAATGCTGTCTCTAATGTTGTTAAGTTGTGAATGAAATTTCACCTCACGTTGACTGGTGGCATACTCAGAGGTGTCCATGTGGTTTCTTTCTCTGGAGATCCTTTTCTGCACTTTTTCCAGCATAGCTGCTTTCAGCAGTTTTCTGAATTGAACAATCTGCTTACAGTTTCTTCTGAAAGTCATCTTTACATTGTTTCAGTATGGGATGTGGGCCTGTTCCTTGCAGCAAGCAGCCCCTTGCCAGCTTTTCTTAGACATCTGCTGGACTGACTCCTGCTTCAGTCTCCTGTATACTGTCTCCCACTCCACATCTGCCCCATCAGAAACAAACCCTAGGCTGGGTGTGCTTAGTTGTTTGTGTGGACATATTACCCCATGTGCTGCTGTCAGGACAGGGTGGAGAAGCCACCTTCTTCCCCACTGCCCAGCAAGACAAGTGGGTCATAATTACTTGCACGGTCAACTGAAAGCAAATAAATTCAATAGCTTATGGTTCTGGGATTATTCAGTTTGCTGAAAGAGAGAGGTCTTTGAACACTGAAAGGTCAGGACTGAGGAGCTGAAGAGTATTTTCTGAGTCCTGTGAAACTATTACTTCACATGCAGAAGTTTCTACTTCTGCATGAAGTTTCTACTGTGGTTTGAACAGCAGCAGCTGCTGTCCATTGACTCCCTAAGCGTGGGATTAAGGTGTTAACGTGGGCAGTACTGCAACTGTGGAAGCAATAAGGCAATGCTTTTTGGCCAAGCTCTTTCACTGTGGTTTGAGTGGTGAAATAGATATCTAGGCTTCAGCCTCCTAACTTTTAAGATAGATTTTGATATCCATTTTTCATTAGTTAAACCAAGAAAGATACATGATTTGTATTTGTTCTTTAGAGTTTGGCTTAGGACTATGATTTCTAGTGCACTAGGATGGTCACATTCGAGCTGTTACATGAATTCTGAAATTCAGCCACAGATGAATATATTCTATTCGTGGCCAAATAAATTATTCCATATGGAGCTGTCTTCTGGCCTGTTTCTGATATGCAAGCTTGATTAAAGCTAGTGTGGGACTCTCTGCCCTGAATTAGAGCATAGATACACCATGTCGCACTCCTTCCAATACCTACAATTTGTCTTTTTACTTCTGTTCTTGAAGGCCACATATGGACAGAAACAAAGGACAATATTTTAATAGCATTTGTTATCTTTTGACTTTTTTAAATTATCTGGTAATCAAATTGAAAGAATATCTTCCTTCTTCAAGGGAGAAGCCCTCCCTGTCTTGCACAGAGCAACATGAGTGAAATGAAGCCAAAACAAGAATCTCTGTCTCTGCTACATGCATTTGGAAGCCTCCAGATTGATTTGATTTGTTATGGCCCACAAAACTCTGGTATCAGCTACAACTTTTGCCACGTGTCATCTATGTTGTTAGTAAAAATCAATTCTCCAGAGAGAAAATGGTTTCTGAGTGACAGTGTGCAATCTGGTATTGTCAGTTATTTATTATCTGTATTCTCAGGGGAATTTAAAAGAGAAAACATAAGTAAAACGATTTCCACTTTTGTTTTTTAATAAAAATAGAACTCTCATTGCCTTTGGCTGTACATGCCTTTGAAGGTAGCAGAGCCTTCTTATGCAGGCGTCTGTGTCTTCTGAATTCTTTGTTTTCTTTACTTTTTGCCTATATAGTAAACATATATTTGAAAATCAGAACAATCATAGTTGTGTGATGAAGTTGGTCTTTGAGAGATATCTGAGCCTGTCCTCCCTCTCTTACAGTTTTCAGCACAACTGAGAAAGCTGCAGAGTCAACGTGCTGATTTTTAAGCCTGAATATGTATCAGTGTTTTTACACAATCAGGCCTTTAATCTAAGTCAGGCTTCACCTGTCTCATCCCTCATGGCAGCCATAGTGTGCTGGGGAGATGTTTCAACATAGGACCTGAAGAGTTTTTGTAATAAGCAAAAGTTGGTACCAGTAATTTTTGTGCCAAACCTATTGCAGTGAAAAGTTGGCAGTTTGGTTTGTTTTGTTTTGTTTTTTGGTGTTTTTTTTGTCCAAAGCAAGTCTTTTTAGAAGCTAAATGTGAACAGATAGAAAAACTGAGATTGAGACAAATTAATTATAAATATTAGAAGTCTGTGGTAGACCTGAATTGATTATTTTAAATGTTATTCTTATTGTATGCAATGTTGTAACTTCTGACATATTGTCATGATTCAATTAAAAGGCAAAGCCCAGAAATAAAAGACTTTCTCAGGTCACTAAACAATTTTCTATATTATATTTATTATATAGATGAAATAAGATACAGAATATTCTCCTAAGGTAATATGTTCTAGTTTTAATGAAAACCAGTGGATATTTACTGTAGTTCAAGGCTCACACATAGTAATACGTGTGATGATAAAGCTACCACTAATAAGCTTGGAACTAATTTTTGCAATACACTTTCCTTGTTGGATCCTGCATTGATTTGGCTTTGGTTTGAGACTTTTTTTGCATCACATAATGATTACTTGAACCTATGCAATAAATCTGTGGAAGTATCACTGTTCTGAGCACTGAGCAATGACACTGTGGCTTCCCACTTCCTCTGACATCCCAGTTGTGGTGTTTCCTGCAGAGTTTGGGGTTCATTGTAGGTGTTTGCCTTCAATGGGATGTGGCTTTGCAAGCTCAGTCAAGCTTTTAGCCACATTTCTGTATTTACAGTTTGCTGAACAAGCATCCCTTTTGTGTCTAAAGTAATCTGATGTTAGGAGACAATGGGCTGGGAGGCAGCACCTGGGAACACTTAATGAAAGAAAAAACAACTGGAAAAAACCCAGCCCAAAAGTATATGTTCATTTCCTTAACAGAAGACAAAGTAGTAAGTTAGTGAGATTACATGTAGAAGAAAGTTTCTGTTCCAAGAATTCAAGTGCTTTGTTCCTATGTGCTCTGAGAGGAGATCCACATCACCTTAAATCCATACCCCTGCTGCTTACCACTGGTTAGACAAAAGGATACCTGGAAGTTGTGCTTTTGAGGGTGAATACACGCATCAATGTATGTGCTTTAACTTTCAAATGTTTAAGATTCCTGTTGTTGATCCAAGAGGAAAAAGTTTTTATTGCACTGTTGAATTCTCTCACCACTGTTTATTACTGTGAGTGTAGAGGGTTTTAGCATTTATCATTTCATTTTAGCTGGATGGTGATGATGGTGATGATGTGATCTTTTTTATTAAAATGCAGCAACCATACCTCAGAGTTTGAGAATGTAGTGAAGCCATTCATACTAAATGTGTTTGTATTTGTGATGAGTTTACCTTGTCACAGAGAAATGGTTTTGTCATTGTTCACCTTCACTTGGAAGAAGTTTTCAAGGCATCTAGGAAAGAAAATGCACCCCTTCACAGAATACATGCAACTGATCTGGCAGGAAGATAAAGTTCTGCTGTCTGTTCAGAGAGAATTGTCTTGCACATCTTTAAGTAGTTCAGAATATCAGAATATAGGCTCATTCTGTGTGGCTGCTTATTTAAATATGCTCATTTCACTGCAGGAGGAAACACTTGGATGACAAGTTTTTGACCAGGCCTTATCTTGCATCCTCATACCAAAAAAAAATACCCCTCATTTAAAAGCTGTGGGGTATGTCTCAGTCAGTTGGTCATTCAGTATAGAATCAGTGAGTGTGCTTTATCTGGAGTAACTGTGTGGGAGCTCATATCCTTCCTGTGCAGATGAATTGCTTGGACATCTATCCTTAGATGCCAGTATTATTATTAATAGCCAAAACCTAGATGTGCTTAAAAGAAAATCTCAGAACCAGGAGAAGTTTCTGGTATACTGGCATCAAGAACTGGAGAGAGAAGCCAGCAGGATAACTCTGCTATAGTTTTTGTAGTTTCATGCTCTGTAGAAAAGCTTTGTGGTACAATAAGATAGAAACTGCAGCTGCAGTGAGCAGCTGTGAAATGTGCTCATGGTAATATTGCTTATGCTCACATAGTTCACAGCCCCATGGCAGGCCCAGCCTCATGGGAAGCAGGACAAGGTGTGTTTGTCAAGGTATATCCTTGGCAAGTTTGGCTTTCCTTGCTGTGTCTATGCTGGTGTAAGGTAGTATGTAAAGGAAGAATTTATGAGTTATAAAGCATCATGTACATCCTAGTGAAGCTTATAGTGGTGTTGGGGAAGAAAGGATGAAAAACCAGATGGTTTTATGTTCATCTGGGGCTACTGTGTATTTCTATAGGCCCACAGGTTTGGTTTGTTTTAAATGAACTCAGTGTGCACCCTTTCAAGGGTCTGTACAGTCACAGAAATAAAAGATAACATGTGATGCTGTGTTCCACAAATCACCAGGTGAGTTAGAAAATAAATGACTCCAGGGAAAGAACTGCTACAAAGCTGACAGCAGGTTTCTGTTTTCCACCCTCCTCTGCCACGTCCGGAGCACTGACAGTAATTCCTGGACCTGGGAAAGAGACCATAAAGAATACAGGAGTTTGCTAGAACTGAACCAGCTCAGGGGAGAAGTGCAAAAGAAAATACAATTTTAAAATATTGATGTTCTTTTCCTTTATAAGTTTTCTACCAACTTTTGTTTAAAAAAACCAAAACACCAGCTAGAGAGATCCAGCAGCATCGACTCTTGTTGGCTCCTCATGACTTCTGTCTGTTACTTTGAGTAGTAGTAAACTGCTATGCAGTGACATGCAAACTAGAAAAATTAGAATAAACTATAACTATTTTTCTCTATGCTATTGTTTTACCAGATGGTTATCTACTGATACAGAGGATGCAGCAGCTGAGTAGCTGATTTTATTTACAAATCAAATTAAATCAAATCTTACATGATTGTGTATCTTGTGGATGGGTTTCATGCAGTTGTCACCCCCAGCATCCTGTGCCCTCCCTCACATTCATTTGTTGCTGCATGTTTTCCTGTCTGACAATAGCTCTGTTTGCCACAGCATCTGTGATGGTGCCCTACTCTGTAGCAGGGTCTTCAGTTACAATTGCAATGAAAACCACACATAATCACAAATAATGAGTTTTACTCTTGTGTCTGCCACTCTGAATACAAGTATTGTGCTCTACAAGCTGCGAGAAAAATCTTTTCATTTATACCTACCTATGTAACACACACATAAATATATTTCTTACAAAAGAGATAAAGTGGCTGCTTCAATTGTCCTGAAAAGAGTGGAAAACCCTTTCACAAGGATCCTGACAACCCTGCTAGAAATATGTTGGTTTCTTTGCACAGGATGAATAATGGCCTAAAACAACTGATTTCAAGTATTTTCCCTGGCAGCATAAATGTATTTGTCAAACAGATTGTAAAAATACCACACAAAGAGGTATTTCCTACAGTAAGAATAGGAAAGTAGGATGTGAAGGTGCAGCGATATTTGCCCTCATGGACCCTTGTTCTCTCCTAGTATCATTCTGAAGTCAATATTTAATTTAACTTCCACGGTTCCTATTTTCCCTGTTCTGTTTTTTTCTGTGTTTCTGGCTAATAGGATTCTATAAAGAATACAGGTCTGTATGTGGGGTTCTGCTTGTCATCAATACACTGTTAATAGCATAAATAGTATGTCACCTTTGTAATTGAAAACATTACTCACCAACAATTCCGACGGTATCATTATTTTAAATGCCAAGATCTAAAAGTAGAAGTAATAAAGCGTGGAAGCTCAGGAGTTGTGAAGCTCAGAGAAACTCTCAAAGAAACAGAATTAAATACCCTTCATAAGCCCTAATTCCTTCCTTTGTAGGGAGCAGATAAAATATGGTGGTTTGATCCATCCTGCTTCTCCCCTCTTCTAGGACACTCCATGGAAATGATATTTCCAGTGTTCCCGAAGGTTCTTTCAGTGACCTGGTATCCCTGTCCCATCTGTAAGTACTTCTGCCTGGGTTCATCTGTTTGACTGAGGGTTTCAGGTTTACATGACAGTACAAATTCAAGATTGTACAGCTTGTCTGGTCTTCTTGCTCTCTTTCTGTATTCTGCTCTGGATATTCATGGTGCATCTGTTCAAAGGAAATAAAAAAATGCTGGAATCTGTTGTTATTAGTTACCAAAATATTTTTCTTCAGGAAAACTAAATGAGCAAATGTGACAGTTTCTTCCTCTGTGGACTTTGTGTTTAAGGCTTTCTTTCAGCATTGTCTGTGTGAAATGCAGAGTGTGTTATGGTCTGAGAGTGAGACAGGAAACCTCCCACAAAGAGCAAATATTAAGCAAATGTGAATTCTTTGCTTAATAAGTGTCATATGTTTTGCATACTGAAATGCTGTCAGCATATGAACTCCTTGATGAATCACTATTTCAGACATATATTTAATCATATGGAAATTGGTCATTTTACAGCATTAATACTTCATTCCATAATTAGCAGAAATTATTAGACATTTCAAGCTTATTCAGGAAATTACTATTGTATTCCTGGAGGTCCAGGATATTTTTAAACAAAGAGCTGCAATTCTTACAAAATAAACCTGAAGTGTAACAGTTGGTGCCAAAAGAGTTGAACAGAAAATGGCTTTTCACTGAGATAATGTGTGATAATACTTCACATCATTAGACAGTAGATTTAAAGGAACAGTAGTTTGGGGTAGCATGTATCTTGATTATTGTCCTGAAGTAACCAGGGGGTTGGGTATGTCTAGATGATTTTGTGAAGTGGCTAGTTCACAAGTTGATATGGATATTTTCAATCTGATGCTGCCCTCACACACATGATGTGATGCTGATGTATACACGTGTCAAGACATACAAACAGATAAGCGTGCATTTAACACAGGTTTTATTCCTATCTCTGTTTCTCTCTTTGCAAATGCAAACATGCCCTCCAGAACACTCACCTGAACACAAGGTTCAGTTCATATTTATGTATTTTCTGGATGTTCTCAGGCTGGTTTTTTTGTGTAACAGCTCTCTGCCTCCCTTTCCCCCTGGACAACAAAACATAAATGTATCTCAGGTTGGTAGGGACAGCAATTGTATGTGAGCAACTTAGGCAATTTCAGCTTCAGCTGAGAAATCACCTTCTCTGTTTCAAGCTTACACCTTGGTATCTAAGTCAGAGAAAATACTTGTTCTGCACAAAATGTATTTCTTATTCACGTTTCCCAGTGTAGTCGAGTAATTTTGTGTGTTGTTTTGGAATGCAAGGCTGAGCTGAAGCCCTGTACCTCCTCTTGGAGGCACAGTGACACCTTCCATACTGGGAATCTGGCTTCTGAGGGTATTTTTAGAATTCAAGAGATAAACATATCATGCCCCATTTGTTTGGATTTTCCTCGGGGTTTACTTTAAATGAAGTGCAGATACAGTATTCCTGGGTAAACTGTTCACCTGTGGGAGTGATAAAAACCCCTTTGGCCCAATACAATCACTGCAGTCTCTCTGTTTAGATATATGTGCTGCCAGAAATGTAAAATACACAAAACTCAAATGAACAGTAATAAATAGGATCCATAAAATAAATAAGACCTGTCTGGGGTGTAATTTGCACAGTTGAACAATTGAATTTTACAGTGCAATTGTGCTCTCCAATTTCTTAAAAAGGATCCTGAAACTTTTAGCAACCATGGTGGTTTTGCTTTCCACATGCCAGAAGAAGCTGTGCTTATTCAAGCAAAGTCATACATCATTGAAAATAAATTCACTTTGAGCTCCTCCTGATATATAGATCTTCAAGGAGGAAGCATGCACTTGGGATAGTGTTGAAAATTATACGAGGAGTTGCTACTCATCAAACTCATAATGCAGGGGAGAGTAAAGTTTTATGTAAATACACAAGCTGTGTGGCTAGGAGTAGAGTAGGTGTGATGGCTGGGAAAGGCTGACTCTCAAGGTGGTGAGCAGGATCCCCACCCTGGGCCTTCTGCAGCCGTACAGTTGGGGGGAGGGAAGATAAGGTATCAAATCAACCTTTAGAATTGCAAAGAAATATTTGTGTAGCACAGGCAAAACTCTTGATTTTAGTCAATCTTTTGTAATAGCTTATAATAGGTCTGTAATTAGAACAACAACATTGAGATCCAGATACTTCAATCACTTTTTCCATAGCTGTTTAAAGCCTGCATGAAAATGTTCACCAAATTTCATTTACACTGTAAACATCTCGTTGTAATGTGACTTACAACAAACTGTGTAGCTGATACACCTCACTAAAAGTAGAGAAAGGTTTGTGTGTGGCATCACAAACTGCTTCTGTTTCCTATGTATTACTTTATTTACTTGAATCATAGCATCGTCTATTTAAGCCATGACTTAACTTGTTTAGTCCAGGGCAATGATAAAAATGCTCCAGCTCTACAGAAGGACCACATATATTGATACTTAAAAAGAAACCAAAATCCATTGGGGTAGAAATGAGACCTTGGTGAGGTCAGTTCCTGCATTTGCTGTGCTCACCATCTACTGGTGCATGCAACTCTGGAACCAACTCAGTTTCCCAAATGCTGCCCACACATAAGCTGACCCCTTGGCACTCCAGGGACTTCACAAAGAAACCTTTGGGAATGGATGCTGTCAGCAGGTGTTCCTGTCAGATGTGGTTTTGATAAGATGCTCAGCTTACTAATCCTGTTGAATCAGCTCATCTTTACTCAAATTTAGTTAGTTACCTATAAAACTAAGTTGTCCCTTCCTCTGTTTCTCCACATGATCATGGCTAGAGTTATTTTAATGGACTTTATTCTAAGCTGCCTCAAAAAAACGCAGTGTCTGAACAGAAATATCTGCACAACATTTTGAAAATGCTAGTAGTGGTATTTCCTTACAACACAAGATATTTTTATCTTCTGGAAGTGTTTTGCTATAATGGGCAAAGAAATAGAGAGAATATGTTAGAACTCATGAATGAAAATACAATAATTCACTAGAATTCCTAGAAATGAATAAAAAATAAAAAATAAAAAAATAAAAATAA